AGTTTGGGTGAAATATGACTTCCTCTATCTGCAGGGCCTGATTCTTCCCTCCTGAAGTAGGAAAGTGGGTACTTGTAGACCACTCACTTTTGCGAGAAGCCTCCTGCCTCGAGCCCCGTGTCATCCCTAATTTCAGTCTTCCCCATCCCTAACTGGTCCAGCATGCAAGGGAGGGAGCTACACTGAGGACCAGTGGAGTGTGGGCTCAAGAAGTGGCAGGTCCTGCCCAGAGGGCACGGCTGAAGTTCAGGACTGACAGGTTGCTTCCTTACCCACGCTGACCTTGATTGAGTGAGCCTCATCCTCCACCGTGAAACAGTGTGCGGCTGTCAGCACAAAGTACTCAGATACCACAGCACCCATACAGTTCTCATGTCCCCTCGAGGGGCGCTAGGAACAGAGCAGCAGAGGGGGGAAGCTCGCCTTTCACAAACACCACAACCTAATGTGAACAGATTGCTCTTCCCCCACCTTCATTTCACCCTGACCTCACCTCCCATGAGTCCCCACCAGCACTTACAGTGACTGAAATCTTGGCGTGCCATGGTTGCTTGTGGTAGTCAGTACCTCCCTTGTGCTCCCAAACCATGCCACAGAGGCCCAGAGTCCGGCTTTCATCTGGCAAGAAAGGAGAATGTGCTGAAAGCTGGCCCTTCACTTCCAAATGGCAGCAGTCTTTTGGGGAGGGACATGTATGTGTCTGGGGAGCAGAGGCCCATAGGAGGAAGGGAGGGGCAGGGGCACTTGCTTCTTTATGCTGAGAGTAAGAAACCACTGTGGTATCGTGAAGAGAACGTGGGACTCGGATTAGAGACCCAGCGACTTTCAGGCCCAACTCTTGCTAGCCTGCTGTTCCTGGATCTCTCCAGGCCTTAATTTCCACATCTGTAAAACAAGGGACTCTAGAAAGCTCTCCGACTTCAATCAGAGCCCTGTGAGTCTAAAATCAGAGAATGGACAGTGCCAGGAGGCAAGAATAGTGACACTGAGGTAGAGAAGAAAGAATGAGAAAGGACTTGCAGGCTGCCAGGGCTTTGGGAGGAGTGGGCGAATGAGTGACCTTGGGAGGCCTGGAGAGGACTGAGTTTCCTGACCATCTTCTACCCTTCCGGTATCTGCCTACCAAGCATTTGAATGAAAACATTCTCCAGGTCCTCCATGTCCTTGACTTTGAACACGTGTTGCTCTTTATCCTTCTTGGAAGCCAAAGCATTGATGTTCTCTTGGTTCACCAGAGGCCCAACCCCGAACACATAGATGTCTGAGGGAGAAAAAGGGAGAGTGAGGGTCAAGGCCCTAAGTGGGCAGGAGCTGAGAAAGTGGGGTGCTGGGTCCTGGGCACTGAAACGCACCCAGATAATCCTCCCTTGGGTTCTTGCGACTTCTACCAATGTCCAGCAAGTCCCGGATATCATGAATGGCAGAGACTGGATCCCCGCCCATGTTGTGCAAGCCTGCAGGAGAGACAGGGCCATGAAGGTAGGAGACAAGGAGGGGAGAGGGTCAAGGAAGAGAAACTGGCTAGAAGGAGTGACACCTATGGCTGAGTGAGCAGATTGGGGAGGTGATGGAAGTGACAGATCATAGCTTTAAAGAAAAGGGTCCCTCCTTATAAAGGTTCCCAGGAGAGATGGACAAATTCAGTGCCCTGAGCAGCAGTCAGGGCCCCAGCCATGAGTCCAGTGTTACATGTGGACTTAAGGGCCATACGCTGGTGTGAGAGGGTGGGGAGTCGGGCAGGAGAAAGGCCCCTCTGACCATCAGTCATGAGGATGATGACATGGCGGGTGCGGTTCCAGGTTTCAGGTAAGGTGTTCACTTCCCAGCTCATCATGTTGTATATTTCCAGGAGGGCCTTCTTGGTGTTTGTCCCTGCCTTCAGCTTGTGATCTGTGGAAAGGGAAGAAATCATCACCTCGCCTGGTCTTCCAAGCCATCCGTGTCCCCAGAGGCCTACCAGTAACCCACGTTTTTGAACTTTCTGAGTTGTCACCCCCACTGACTTCCCTTTGATGACAAAGTGACCCTCTCAGTTCCAACAGACTCCCCAGTGACCCTGCTGTCCAACTAGAAAAAGTAGTCTTCCCTGCCCCACCATATGGTCTCACTCCTCACTCCCCACAACACCCCTGAAACTTGTGATCTCTCTGACCCCAAAGTGAACTTCCCACCATTCCCTTCCTTGACCTCTGACCTTCGTAGTTGATCTGGTTGACCTTCTCTGTGACCCAGTCTGCATCACTGCTCATTGCGTCAGACACTTTGATCAAAACTTTGGGATATGTGGCATATGTCACTAGACCATATTTTGGCTTCACCCCATAACTTGCCACCTGTGGGTGAGGGAAGCAAGTGGGAGAATTCAGTAGCTTTGCTAGGATAGGCAGGGAAGGCCAGAGTAAGAGATTCAAGGACTGATTCGTCACCTGGGGTTCTTGGAGGAGTCTGGGTTAAAGGTCAAGAAACTGCTTCAAGTAAAAGTGAAGGAGGACAGAACAGGACCTGGAGATTTTCTGGGACCCTGTGGCTCAGAGCGGCTGGGAGCTCCAAGGGCTAATCCCAGCAGGGCAGCCAGATCCATTCAGGGTCCCCACGTTCAAGGGGAGGGGATTTCACCTTCTCAATGAAGTCTCTAAGACAGTTCTTGGCTCCTGTGAAGTTGTGGGCCCCAATGCTGTCTGATGCATCCAGCACCAGGTAGATGTTCATGGAGCCCGAGGGGTCCAGGACAATCCTCCTCTTCTGTTGTTCCCCTGGGTGCCACCAGAGAGACTCATGGTTCTCCTGCCCCTTCTCCATCCTCCAACCCCACCCCCACCTCGCTTCCCATCTCTGCCTTCACACCTGGAATGTGTCCATCCTCAGCATCAACTCCTTCTATGGTCTCTGTCAGGGAGGATAGGAAGGCTTCGGCCACCTCTCCAGGGGTGTCATACATAAAGGAGTCTGAGAGAGGTCAGAAATCAGGTCAAATGTCTGGGAGGTCAGGGACACAGTGACCAGAGAGACAGGGTATGGTGGATTTCTGGGGTAGAAAGGGCTCAGAAGTGAGAGAGTCCTAAAGGGGTGTTTAAGAGTGAGGAAGGAGCTGGCTTGCAGTAGGGAGAAGGCAGTGCCCTCGTGTGGGGATGTGAGGATGATGAGCAAGATCTGACCTGACTGTACAGCTCAAGAGTCACCTTGGCAGGAAGGCTCCGTTCCACTCCAAGAGCCACCCTCCTGGCATTTGCGCTGCTGGGAGCCCCGTAGGGTGAGCCCCCGGTTGCAGTAGTAGGTGACAGTGTCTTCAAGGCGGTACTGGCTGCCCACCTTCCTTGTGCCAATAGGGATGCCCGGGTTCGGGCAGTACCCCGCTGTGGAAGCATGAGATGCGGAGGTGAAGGCCAAAGCCGGAGGCCCGGAGAGCAAGGTGGAGCACAAGAGCTCTGGTGCCAGTTCCTCAGGCTGAGGTGGTCAGGGCGAGGGTGCCGTCATGGAGAGAGGGGAAGTTTCTCACCTCCATCATCACAGATGGCCGTTTGCCCGTCCCACTGACCATTCTCTTGGCAGGTGCGATTGGCAGAGCCCCGGAGAGTGTAACCATCGTAGCAGCGGAAAGTGATCTGTTCACTCAAATTGTAGTAGGCAGCCCTGGGCCAGTACTCCCCGTTCTCAAAGTCCTGTGGTCTGGGGCAGCGAATTGCTTTGGGGGAGGGGAACAAGTAGAAGTGACCGAGAGGGAAGGGCTGCCCTTTAGGACATCCCTCCTGGTCTCAGGGACCCTGTCACTGAGAAACAGTGTCTTCTCGATCCCACAGGATCAGCTACTAGCCTCAACCCATGAGGAGTCCAGCCACTCACGCTCCCCATTTCTGAATGTTCTTTCAGCTGCCAGGGCTGCCTGACACAGTCAATGCTTAGTAAAGTTTAGCCCCCTTGCTGCTCCCTCCATCCCACCGCCAACCCTTGCTCGGCTCCCACCCCTGTTCAGCCCGCCTGGTCAGACTGCCTCGTCTCAACACAACTCTAATCTTGTCCAAGTCTGGGTCGTGGCCACCACCTGCTCCGTCCCTCTGCTGGCCCATGCCTCCCTTCGCTGCCCTCCAACCTTTGCATTCGGCCCTCTTGACAATCTTTCTGTCTTGAGTCTTCAGGGTGCTCCAGGACCCTGTGGATCTGCAGGTGCGAATCTGCGCAGGGTACGGGTAGAAGCCAGAAGGGCACATGTACTCCAGTGTCTGCCCCTCCTTGAGCAGCCGAAAGGAGCCACCTTTGATCTCTACTCCCTCCAGAGAGCAGGTGCTCTGGGGCCCAGCCTCAGGCAATGGCGTCATGCTCGCACCTAAAGAGGAAGGCCCGTGAAGCCCAGGCTCACAAGGCCAAGGAGGGATCCTGGGGGCAGCAGGAGGGAGCCTGTGAGGGCACTTACCTCCAGACAAGAGGGCCAGGATCAAGGGGGCTAGGCAGGGTCGGCAGCTGCGACTGCTCCCCATGGCTTTGGAAGACAGGGAGAAGCTGGGGCTGCGGGCAGGACGGCCTGTCTCAGCTTCTGCTATGTGTCTGCTTGGCGGGCTTTTCCAAGCTGAAGCTCCAGACCTGGGCTGTGTCACGCGCCCTTCCCCTGCCCCCCACAACCTCCAGCCTTTTATGCAACCTGTGTTCTGGCGCCTGCTGTTCGCCCCACCCACCCTACCCACATCACTTTCCGGAATGTCCGAGCGGGAGGGCCCCCCTCTGAGCTGCCAGTCAAGGAAACAGAAACTGCAAAATCCCACCTTTGGCTGCCCAGGATCCAGGATTCTTCCTGTCAACACCTCCTCTCAGCCTTCGTTCCTTCCCAACAAGCCCCCTACCCCTTAGGGACCAGACACAAGGCCCTCACTGGTTCCCCTGTTGACTCTGTTAGGGAGCAGAGTCCAGCCATTGTTTGTCCAGAAGGGTCTCTGACCTGCCTTCTTGCAGTTCCTGGAATCATTCTGGCTTTTCTCTCCCCACAGGACCCAGGTAGAGGCACAGATAGATGAGGAAATCATTGATTTTTATTAATTTCATAACTGGGAAATTCCATGTGAAAGTGAAAGGAGAGAGTGAGCCAAGTAAACCCGAGGATGGGCTCTGCGCCGGCAGGAGCCCTGGGGATTCCCCGGCTTGCATGTGCCGCTGGCTGCCTTGCCTCCGGTTCCTAGAGGCAGGGGTTTGCGCAGAGCAGGGAGTGGGGATGGGTCACGGAGACCGAGGGTGAAAGTTGAAAGGTAGGAAATGGGAGAGATGGCAGGTCCTGGCAGGACAGCAAAGGCCTCGGTGGCCATGATTAGAGGGGCAAAAAGTTCAGGACGCCCTCCAGGTGCTGCCTCAGCCAGGGCTGCAGGCGGAAGAGATTGATGTGGAAATCTCGTGGTGGTGGGATCCTGCCACGGGGGGCCTTTCTGCGGGAGTTTTTATTGGAGCTGCCACAGGGGTTGTAGAGACCCCAGCTTACCAGGCCCACCTGGAAAAAGGAGAAGATGGGGTGGGAGGCTGCCCCAGCCCTAACTCCAAGCCCCAACCTCCCTGGATTCTCCAAAGGCCTGCCTCTTCCCCCAAGGTCAAGATCCCGTAACTCCAGACCCATGAGCATCCCCCTTCCCTCCTCACCTGAAAAAACCTGAATCTCCGCTGAAGGAAAACTGCTCCCCCAGATTCTCCTGCCAGAAAAGAGGGACAAGAGACTGTCATCCTGACTTTCACCATTGCATCAGGGCAGTGCACTGGTGTCCTGGTACACGTGCCAGCCACAGGGACACAGGTGGCCTTCCCCTTGGGAATCCAGGTTCCAGGATGAGGGTCGAGAAGTGGGTGGGAGGGGCTCACCCTTGCAGGGATTGTCATCCTCCTCAGTCCCACTGCATAGAAACTGGTCTGTCACCACCTCTCTGACATCTGTCAAGTTGGGGAATGTGACTTTGTCTTGAGAGACGACCTGGATACAGTTTTTCCACTGCAGTAGGGGTGGAACAGGACAGAAGGATGGCATGAGCAGGCCCAGGGGACAGCTGGCAGTGCAGCTAGGTCTGGGAGGAGCAGTGACTTGGGGTCAGATGGAGAAAGCAGCCCAAGCTACAGGATGAAGAGAGATGTTCCAGGAGCTACCACAGGGGAATCCCATCCCTGCACAGCATCCCGGACCTGAGACACTCACCTTTGACCCTGTCTTGAGGTTAATGTTCAGCTTGCTCCCATTCAAGGCCACAAAATGAGCAGGAATGCTCATCTGGTTCAGAAGTTCCCTCTCTGCCGTCAAGGAAAAGGATGTCAGTTCTGATCTCTTTACTTAGCATCCAGACTCTTGACTTGGGGGCTGCCGCACAGCCCACGTCATCACCCCAAGCCCCGGTCCCTGGGTCCTCACGCACCCTGAGCCCGGCACTCACCATGGTCTTGGCAGGTGCTGCCCGGAGGTCTCCGCAGAGCCAGATTGGCCCCCACCGTGCAGGGAAGGCAGATGGGCCTGAAGAGAAGGAGAAGTGTCACACAGGCCCATCCTTGGTGTCCCCTCCTCCGGGCGCCCCAGAGCACTCACTCTGGGGGCGCCCTCCCATCCCAGACTTCGGCACCTGGCGTGGGTAGACATCTTCACTTTCTGGGCCAGCTTTAGCAGGGCAATGTCATTGCCATAGAACTCCGGGATTCCCTGGTTCTTCTTGGAATAGACATTGAACTCCGAGGAGATCACTGCCTTCTCAATTTGGAATTCTTTGCCCCACTTGGAGTTGGGATCCCCTGAAAACAATATGGCAGATTAGGCTGGACCAGGGCTCCTGAAGGGGCCAGAGGCTAGGGACAAGGGGTGGGAGCTCTGGCTGCAGGGTCGGGACGCTGGTGCGTGCCCTGCCTTACCCACACTGACCCTCCACAGGGAGCGGTCCTCGGCCTGGCGGAAGCAGTGAGCAGCTGTCAGGACCCACTGGTCTGAGATGAGCGCCCCCCGGCAGGTCTCCTGGCTCTTGGGCTGCAGGAGAACAGGTGATCTTCAGGGACTGCTGTGTCTCTGGCCCATGGCCACTGTCACCTCTGGGATCCAAGCCCCATCCCTCCTTCCTGGTACCTTAATAGTGACATGCCAAGGTGTCCTCTCCTGGGCAGAGGCATTGGCAGACATGTTCCCTACCCCACAGATGGTGTCCGTGAGCTGGGAAACATCTGTGGATGTGAGGAGCAGATGGGGAAGGAGGCAGGTGAGGGGTGCTGTGAGCAGTTGCCAACCTGGACCCTTGGCCGGTTCCACTCTGGGCACCCCACTCAGGAGAGGGTGAAGCACACTCACCCAGCATGTGCTCAAAGACCTGGCTCAGAGCCTTCGTGTCCTTCAGAATGAAGGCATGCCTCTCACCATCCTTCTTGGACCCCAGCTCATTCAGTTCTCTCCAGTCCACATCCAGGTTGCCCACGCCAATGGCATAGATGTCTGATAGGGAGGAAGAAATCACCAGAATCTTGTGGCCAAGGGGCTACCCTGTTGCATAGGAGGCTGTAATTTGGAACTCGCTGTGCCCCACATAAGGAGGACTCCCTTGCCCCCACTACCTAACTGACCTCATTACCCACTACTCCTCACCCTTCGCTCTCTCCCAGCCACATGGCCTCCTTGAAGCTCCTCAAATTGGTGGGCACACTCCCACCTCAGGTCCTTTGCATGAGCTGCGCCTCTGCTTGGTTCACGCCTCCCCTAGACTTCCCACGTGGCTCCCTCTCTGAACTTCTTAAGTCTTGACTCAAATGTCACCATCTCAGTGAGGCCTTCCCTGGTCTCCTTATCTAAAACTACAATGGCCCAGAGACTTCCACCCACTCCATTTCATTTTATACCTTAGTACATGTCACTGTCTATCATGCGATATGGTTTCCTTCTTATTTTGTTTAATGCCTAGAGTGGGTAGAATGGTGTCCCCCACAAAAGGTATGTTCAAGTCCTAACCCCCAGTACCTGTGACTAATAATAGGGAAATAGAATGTCTTTTTGGCTATAATCAGTTAAGATGAGGTCACCCTGGATTAGGGTGGGCCCAGCCTGATGCCTTTATAAGAACAGGGGACTCTAGACACAAAAACACAGAGAGAGAAAACCATGTGACAACACAGAGAAACCCTCAGGGAAGAAGGTGACATAAAGACAGAGGCAGAGATTGGGTGATCCTGCTGCAAGCCAAGGAAAGCCCGGAGCTGCCGGAAACTGGGGGAGTTAAGGACAATGTTCCACTAGAGCCTCCAGAGGGAGCATGGCCCTGCTGACACCTTGACCTTGGTATCAGCCAAGTCTGTATTATCTGCTGCCCTAGGAAACTAACACATTGCCCCCTCCAGAGTGACATCCCCATGCAAGCAGGCATTTTCTTCTGTTTTGTTCACAGCTGTATCCTTAGAACATGCCTGGCCCAGGAGAGGCTCTTAGCGAGGACTTTTAAATGACTACATCGATAAAAAGAACCTATGATGTAGCGTTCAAAACTGGTCTTCCTCTGTAAAATGTAGGCTCTGGGAGGGGGCCCCCGAGCCATCTCTTCCCCCTGGAGAACCTGGGTCCACACAACCATCCACACCAGCCTCTGAGCACATGTGGGTGCCAATCAGAAACTGCCTTGCAGTGGCTCAAAGAGTCCTGTCTTCTCCCATCCTTTATACCCCTTACAGTCCTTTTTTGCAGTTATGATAGGAACTGGACAATTGTCAGGCCCCACATGTTTTCTTTGACTATTTCCCTTCAGTTTCTGCTTCTTTTTAATAAGATGCTTTCAAGCATTTAACCTTGGCCCAGTGATGCTAAGGAGTTAGGATGTAAAGTTGGGCTTTTGCCTTCCTTAGGTCAGGGGAGTTTTTTGTTTTTCTTTTATAAATTTTTAAAATATCGTTCTTTTTTGTCCCTTCCAGTTTTATTGAGACGCAGTTGACATACGGCACTGTGTACTTTTTTTTTTTTTTTGGAGGAAGGTACGGGGGAGGTAATTAGGGTTTGTTTTGTTTTGTTTCGTTTTGTTTTATGGAAGTACTGGGGATTGAATCCAAGACCTTGTGCTTGCTAGGCACGCTCTCTACCACTGAGCTACCTGCTCCTCCAGGTCAGGGTTTTGAAGAGGAATCTGTTTACTCATAAAGGGCAAATGGAGTGAGAGGCATGAACAGAAAAGAGAGGTCCCAAGGGGAAAGTAAAACTTGGGGCCTTAAAACCAGCTGCCCTCCCTTATCTGGAGCTTTTCTCTTTGAAGTTTTTTTCTGGTCAAAGGTCAGTGCAATTTTTGTTTAGTCTGAATTAAAGGAATTGTTTTAGAGACTGCAACTGCCAAAGCCTTCGTTAGTTATGTGCACTGCTCTAAGAGTGCCTGGGACAGTCCTCACAAGGGGTCCAGGCCTCTTCTTCCGGGAGAGGCCTGTGGAACATAAGACGATGGGAAAAAACCACGACGATGAGGATGATGATGGTGCCGCTGACGTATACCGAGTTTCTCTGTGACAAGCGATGTCTGAGCGTTCGCCTTCATCGGCCTCTGAGGCAGGTCCTTATACTGGCCCCTCTTACAAATAAAACACTACCCACAGCCACAGCCAGTCGAAGATGAATCCAAGGTTGAAACCACAGGCAGTTTGACTAGACTCCAGTGTGACAGTCGGCTGCCTTCATACAGAACAACCCAGCTTGGGGTCTCAATAGAAAGAAAACCAAGAGGCTGGAGCCCCTGGCAGTGGGCCTCGTGCCCCCTGCAGGGCAGCACAGGTGGGCCGGGGGCGGAGGCTCACCCAGATAGTCAGTCCTCTTCTGGTTGATGTTCAAGATCTCTTTGATGTTCTCAACAGCTGGCTTTGGAGAGCCACCCATGTTGGACTTGCCTAGAACGAGGAGGGAAAGAACTGTCCGTCTGGGTGGATGTATGAAGGTTCCCCACAGCCCTGGAGGAGTGAGGAGGCCTTCATCCCGGGAATCTCCACACTTACACACCATACTCGAGTTTCAAGATTCTGAAATTATTTACTGAAATTCTTTGGCTCTGGGCCAGGAGCTCCATATACTTTGCCTCATTTCATTCTCATGAAACCCCAGGAAATGAGGGTATCCTTACTTTATAGACAAAAAAACTGATTTCTAGAGGGGCTGTGTAATTTGGACAGAATCAAGAGATAAATGGCAGAGCCCAGATCCACCACCCAGTCTGCCCTTCCATCCATGCCCCTTGACATCACTGGTCCAGAGCCACGCCTCCCCATCCAGCACACTCTAGGTGACCTCTCAGGTAGTAACAATAGCTAACACTTAACAGTCTCAAAGCACTTTTACATATACTACTTAAGTTGCTCTTCATAAAAACTGTAAGGGAAGGAGGACAGCTACCATGACATCACCACCACTGTTATGGTGGTCATTACCATCATCATTAACACTATTCCTACTTTATAAACCAGAAACGGAGGCCAGAAGTGGCAGTGGGAGAACCATACTGCAGGTCTTCTGACCCCATGAGCCTGCTCCTTCCACGTGCCGGACTCACTCACCATCAGTCAGAAGGATGATGGCGTGTCGGATTTCCTGCCAGGCCACCGTGTTCATGCCAAGGCGTTCCATTTGGTTGTTCATCATGTTATAGACACTATTTAGAGCCTTGTAGATGTTGGTTCCAGTTCCATTTTCATGGTCTGGAATATGCAAAGACGAAAAGCTCTCTTAGAAACTTCCTGCCTGCCACCTGGGAGAAGGGAATGACGTCATTTCCCCAAACACTGGAAATGCATATATCAATTGGGGTGATAAACTCAGACCTTTGATATCCAGTTAGATATTGCCTGTTTAAACATGAAAAGCCTTTCCCCTTACAAATGTTTATTGCATAACCCCACTAAAGGCCACTCTAAAGTCCCAAGATTCAAAGATGGGGTTTCCAAAGAACTTGGGTTGTTTTAGCCATCTGCTAGCTACCACTCCCGTGGTTTCACAGTGGCACAGGGAGACTATGAAAAGCAGACCATGTGGTTCTGGCATCAGGAAGGAGCTGACAACATGCACGGTGCATGTGGACATGCAGCATGTCCGAGAAAGCCATGTGTTGGTAGGAGCTGGGACTCCCCCACCAGGAACCTGACTTGGAAGCCACCCCCACCTGAGGAACTTTAGTCCCAGAGCCCTGGGACTTGAATGCCACCAAGAGGCCTCACTCTCTAACTTGTCTAGAATCAGCTGGCAGCTACAGAGAGCTCATCCCCGCCCCACTCCTGTCACTGTCACTGGATGACATCATACCTTTATAGTTGGCATTTTCCAGACTGTTGGCCACTTCAGTCACATCCCGGGATTTGTCGCTCAGAACTGACATGATGATTTTGGGTTTTGATGCAAAGGTGATGATGGCGACACTAACATTGATCTCAAAGCTGAAGATCTGAGAAAGGGAAGTGAGAGGTAGCGTGAGGGTCCCCAGAACCAAAAGGGAGATGGTAAGAGAGCCGCAAAGGGCCCTGGAGGAGGCCGAGAGCCTGGACGGAGACTGACAGACACAAGGCCTTCAGGGGTCCCTTCTTGGGAAACAGCTGCTTGAAGAAGGCTCCTGACATTTGCTGGTCCTGTCTACTCTTTGACAGGTTCACTCTTCATTTATTCTTCACATCAATGCTGTGAGGGGGTCGTGAGGGTCCTTATCATATAGATGAGGAAGCTGAGGCCCGTTATGTCACCCCAGATCACACCACTGGCAAGAGGTGGAGGTGGAATTTGAACCTATCAGCACATTTCTGTCGCATTTTGCAGCCTTCATGGTTTAGTGAATCACTTAAGTTACTTTCTTAAGAAAGATACTACGGCGTACAAAAGCTGCCTTCTTTAAAATGTAGCTAGGAGGAAAAACATTTATCTACACAAACTATTGTGAAAAGCATAATTACCAAGCACAGTCTTGGCAAGGAATCTGAACCAATGGCTTCCAAGCTCTCCTGCTCATGCGTCGCATCAGTAAAAACATTTTGAGCACATCCCTCAACATACACATATGTATTTATAATGTACACTCATATTTATAAAGTGTATCACTATTCAAATATAGTATACATATTTTAAAACCTAAACAAAATATTGAAAACTTTTAAAAAGTTTTAAATATTAAGTTGTTAATATAAGTTAAATTGCAACTATTCAATACGGAGACCAGTATTTTCCAGCCACATCCTGGTGGATTATTTTGGGTACCTCTCTGTGAAGACCTCTATTCTAGATGATTAAATCCTGGAAAGTGGGATCTCAGCCTTGTTCATCTTTGGGGTCCCCCAGCACCCAAAACAGGGCCTCACATATATAGCCCAATAGTGTTTGTGGAATGAAAAATAGGATCCTATAAATTAAAGCCATGATTCCTGCATGGCATGCATATAATCCGGGAAGACTTCTTGGAGGAGGTGGGCTGTGAGTGTGATTCTGAGGAAAGGAAGGAGACCGAGAGAGACAGCGAGCGCAGGAAGTCCTCTGTGCATGGGCTCCTATTTCCTGACCCTGTCCACCACGTGGGAGGAACTGTCCTTGAAGACTTTGAAGTCCTCTTCTGACACACTCTGAGAGGCATCCAGAAGCAGATAGAGGTTCAAGTGACCCGAACGCTGGATTTGTATTTTTCGGCCCAGGTTTTCTGGGAGGAAAGTGGAAAGGGCAGATTCAGATCTCCCCCTCTTCCTTGCTTTCTTACCAGGCCTCTTTGCCTCCCCGCCGGTCATCTCAGCCCCTAGGAAGCACGCCCTTCCCCAGCAGCCTGCCGCCCCCTCCTGGAGAACTCACCATTCTTCTTCTGGGTGGGATTGGTGGATTCAAGGAGGTGGGACAAGGAGGTGCCTAGGGCGGGGGCCACATCCTCAGGAAAGTCATAAGAGTAGGGCTCTGTAGGAAGAGCCACCAGGTCAGCCAGGGCCGGGTCAGTGGCCAGGAGTCTCAGGAGGATCAGAATAGCTACTTACGGCGGCAGATGGGCTCCGTCCCACTCCAGACCCCACTGTCCTGGCACTCCCGCTCCACAGAGCCTGTCAGCACCAGATTCAAGGAGCAGTGGTATCTGACCTTGTCCCCAAGGCCAAAGCGGGACCCCGTCCGCACCGCACCCACGGATATGCCCGGGTTGGGGCAGTGGCTGGCTGCAAGGAACAAAGAAAAATGGAGGTGAGCCGGGACGCCTCCTCAGCCTCTAAATGCTGTTTCTCCACCCTCTCCCTCCAGGCTCTTCCTCCTCCAGAGCCTCAGAGGCTCTTGGGTCCCATGGCCTCTCCCTTGGGAGACACGTGCCTCCCAGGCATGTGGATGGAAAACCTGAAGTAGGGGGAGATGTTTAAAACTCAGTAGCCTCAAAAAAAAAAAAGAAACTCAGTAACCTCAGTTTCCAGCTAAAGTATCCCACTTCCAACACAGAGAGTCGGCCTGCACCCACCCCAGAGCCCCAGGGAAGATGCTGGCTGAGAAGCCCCGCCCTTCCACAGAGATTGTTTGCAAACAATGAGACAACACTCCACACCCACTGAAATGGCTGAAACTAAAAAGATGGGTAATTCCAAGTGTCAGAGATGATGTAGGACAGACAACCTGAGCTGTTACATTGCTGGAGTGTCAATTGGGAATCTGTTTGCAGCCTCCACTAAAACAAAACATCTGCCAACCTATGACCCAGTAATTGCACTCCTAGGTGTCATGCTCAAGAGAAACAAGCGTCTAGGTGCACCCGCAGTCATGTGCAAGGTCATGCATAGCACATAGAGCCAAAAACTGGAAATAGCCCAAATGCCCACCAACAGAAGAATGCATAGATAAATTATAATATTTTCGTATAATGGAAACACACAGCAACTGAAAAAAAAAACCAAACTGCTGAAACACAGGAAAACATGGATACATCTCCCAGGCAGAATGTTGACTAAAGGAAGCCAGTTGCAAAACAGCATGTGCGTATGAGTCCACATGTGTGAGGCGTAAGAATAAGCTAAACTCATCCATGGAGGCAGAGGTCCGAAGAGTGGTCACCTTATGGGAGAGAACAGGAGGAGCCTCTCGAGGTGATGGGCACTCGGTCTTGGGTGATTACATGGGTGGACACATGTATAAAAGCTCCTCAAGCTGACTAGTTAAGATTTCTATGTTTTAGGTAGATTAAACCTCCATGTTCAAATAAATTATATTTATGTTTGAATAAATGATCAAGGGTGTAACTAGGGGGCCAACTAGGAAGTCTGGGTACCAGGTGAGGTCCTGGTCCTGCCATCTTGTGGACTCTTGAGTCTTCTGTATTATGTACTCAGAACAGTGACCCCGGAAGCTCCCCAAACCCAGGGGTCCCAGGAGCCCTGCTTCAGTCGAGCAGAGCTGGTTGTCTTTCACAGGGGCAGGAATGACCATGACGGAAGTATATGTGGAGCTTATTAGATCCTAGAGACTGTTCCAGACGCAACTCACTTGATCCACCCAGCACTCCCAGGCAGTCGGTACTCTTACTATCTCCATTTTACATATGGGGAAACTGAGGCATAGCGAGGTTAAATAACTAGCCCAAAGGCTACCAAAATCAGAGCTGGGCTTAGAACCCAAACTGGCTCCATTCGCAAGGACCTAAGCACAAACTCGATTGCCCTCAGCGCATCCTCCCTGCAATAGCCCTGGGGGCCTGAAAACCAATCTGGCTTTGAGGCATTTGCAGAAGCCAGATAGAGAATGTGGAGCCTTTTGTCAGATCTGAAGCTTAGCACCAACTGCCTTGGGCCAGGGTCCCCACAAGCCGGAGATGTGTGACCTATAGACCTCAATTTACCAGAATCCAGGAATGTGATTTTGGCACCAGAAGCACAAGGTCCTTGTCCCCACAGAGGACACATCTAACTCCAGGACTCCCGGGAGACCCCCGCCCCATGCAGCCATCGGTCAGGGCACTCACCACCGTTGTCACACACGGCCGTCTCCCCATCCCACATGCCATTGGGGCGACACTGCCGCACAGGCGAGCCCCGAAGTGTGAAGCCATCCTCACATTCAAAGCTCAGGTTGCCGCCCACAGGGTGGGACCCCAGCCGTGGGGTGTACACACCGTTCTCAAAGGAAACAGGGGCTGGACAGCGAACAGCTGGAGGGAGAGACAGGGATGAGACGGGGGATGGATGGATAACACTTGGGCTGGACACCAAGTAAGTGACATTCAGCTTGGATGCCTGGGAAGAGCCAGCTGGTTGTCAAAATATTAGGTTGATGCCCATGAAATTGCTACTTTTGGCAATTGGCTGAATATTGGCAATTTCACACCAACCTAGTAGATTGAAATACAGCCACTTCTCTCAGCCCCTGAATGCCACAGCCACCCCAGCCCCTCCCCTGGGATCCTCATGAGTGGGTGACTAAAGGGGTGAAGCCTGGCACAACAGGGGACTCCAGGATCATTCAGCAGCCACTCTGAATGGTCAGCACCATGCAGTGGATTGTTAAGTATTTTAAAAATCATCCCTGGCTTTAGTTCCCCACAATCTCCATCAGAGCCTGCCTCCAATGCTTGGCTGTGGGCAGTTGACATTTTCCCACTATTTTGAAAAGCTTCTTAGCCATCCTATCTAGTCAGGTTAAGCCCCACCCCAGCAACTCCTAAATAGAAGTCCTGGGTGGGGGGGCCCGCCAGCGGGGAGCTCACGTTTGCAGACCACCTTTGTCACCCGGGTGGCTCTCGGGACCTGCCACTGCCCGTTGCTCCTGCACAGCCGTGATGCCACAGGGAATGGGTAGCGGCCCAGGGGACAGGAGTAGGTGAGGACACTCCCAGGGGCCCAGCCGTTGCTGAGGGTGAATGTCCCACCAGAGATATTCACATTCTGAGGGCAGGAGGGAGCGGCTGTAGCCAAGCCTGTGGGCATGGGGACATGGCACAGAAATGGAGAGAAGAAGAAAGGCACAGATAAGGAAAGGAAAGCAGAAGAGACTGTCAGTTTTGCATATAGGTGGTACTGGGCTCACCCACGGGACCCCCACATCCCCCTCCCCTGCTCCTACCTGGGTACAGAGGTAGCAGGCAAAGGACGGCCATCAGTGGGTCCATGGTGTCCACCTTAGGGGCAGGGAGAGGCAGAGTGCTGGGAGAGGGAAAAGGTCATCTGACTTCCCGAAAGCAAGAGTTGGCTCAGCAGCCGCTTCATGAGCTGCCAGAGAAAGAAAACTAGGGAGTGGCAAGGGGGAATGTTCTCTCATTAGGAAAGAAGTAATCAGGGATCGGGGACTGAGCTGAGGTGGTGAAACCTTTGCCCTGTCTCCCTAATCCCAGCACATCCATAGAGCTGTCGATCTGCATCATGGGCTTTGCGTGGCGCTTCCAACCTCCACCCCTCGCAGACCCGCCTACTCACAAGCTCTTGCAAGAATAGTCTAAAGCACACAGACCCAACAACCAGCTGAGATGTTGCAAAACATTTTATTTAAGTAAAGTTTCAGTTTTCTTTTGGGTTTTACCAAGTGGATTTTACTTCTTCAGAGTCTAGGATAGTACTGTCTTTTTGAATATAAGCCCCCAAGAGATTAAAACGAATTTTCTTAGAAGTTTTTGATACATAGGAGGATTCCTCATCTTTTTCTTCCCTACAACCCTTCCCCAGAGAGTATCTAGGGACAAAAATGAAATCAACACTTAGTTTTGGAGACTGGAAAAATGTTGAGAACATTTTTAGGGAAAGTCCAGTAGATAAAATCCCCAGCTTATAAAATAAACAAGTCTGGGGTTGTTTACTCAAAGGAATAAAAGTATTTTTGAAAATGAGATAATGTCTTTAAATTACAACCTGCATTTTGTGTGAAGTGCAGGAAGCAAAGAAACTCTAAGCTAGTGTGTCAGCCTCCCACAGAAGACTCTTTAAAATCTATCAAATGGTGGGGAGGGTATAGCTCAGTGGGAGTTCATGCTCAGCATGCACGAGGTCCGGGGTTTAATCCCCAGTACCTCCATTAAAAAAAAACAAAACACTTTTCGAACAATGTGGAATATAATAAGTAAATAGAAGCAACCAGAAATGAAGATGAAACATCTCTGAAGTGAGCATTTAAGTTTATGAACACTCTTGATTTACAAATAACTTCTCAGAAACACACACACATAGTTAGGCTCACCTTGGACAGAACTGACTGGATTTAGAAGACCGTGATCCCCAGTGCTGGAGGTCCCAAAGCTACTGCTGTGACAGAGCTACTGGCACCTTCCCTGCACCCAGTATTTGTTCTCCCTCCTTCTGCAGTAAGAGATGTTCAGCAGGACACAGTCACCCAGCTAAAGACTACATTTCCCAGCTTCCTTTGCAGCTAGTGGCCAGGTGACACGGCTCTAGCCAATAGAACTGATGTGTGTAACTTCCAAATTATGCCCCTAAAATAAAAGGAGAGTGTACCCCTTCTTTCCCATGGGCTGGAATATAAATTTGATGGTGATTCCAGAGAAGCACCCTGGGAATGACAGGGCAAACAGACAGAGGAGCCTTGGGTCCCTGACACTGTGTTGATGTCATACCAGCCCTGCCTACCTGCTCAGATTGTTACAAGAGAGAAACAAACTATATTAAAGGTGGTGGGCATTTGAGATGTTCACAAATGTTCTGGCTTCGTCTCCTTTCAGTCACACAGTAGGATTAAACTTCCCTATCCACTTGCTTTGTCCAATGAAAAGTGGGTATAAGTGACGTGAACCACTGGTACATGTAAGCTTTATGAGCCAATGCAGTCTTCCTCGGGCTCATAATCTTTCCCTCTGGATGGCTACTTTTGGGATGGTGGCTGCTCCATCAGCCTAGATCACTGGGTGACACCAAAAGCAGAACCCCTGCTGACCCTTACCAGATACGCTATGTGAGCAAGAAATAAACTTTTGTTGTTTTAATCCACTGCATTACCACAGCTGCAGGGGGAAAAAATACCACCCCAAATTTAGGGCTTTAAAAATGTTTTATTCCTACTCATGATTTTGTGGGTTGGCCAGGAGGTTCTTGCCTGGACTCACTCATGCAGCTGCAGCCAGCTGAGGGCTGAGTTCAGCAGGAACAGTAAGCCCCGTGGTCTGTCACCCAGAGCCCCTCATATCATGGCAGTCTCAGGACAGCATCCTAAGAGATGCAACACATACGCTGCAAGGTCTCTTGAGGCCTGTCCTCAGAAGTCACATGACATCACTTCCACATGTTCTATTGGTAACAGCAAATCACAAGGCCAGCCCAGATTTAAGGGTGGGAAGAACTTTACCTTTTGATGGGAGGAGTGGCAAAGTCACACTGCAAAGAGGCACACACACCAGAATAGGAGAGATGTACAGCCATGTTTTGCAAACCACTAAGGCAACCAAGATCGGGAGATTGTCATAATAGCATAATGAATCCTGCCTGACTGAATACTTAAATCACTGAATTTTGGGTGCCTCTTTAAGCTGCTGCTATGGACTGAATTAAATTTATATGTTGAACACCTAACCCCTAATATGACTATATTTGGTGATGACAGGGCCTGTAAAGAGGTAATTAATCTTCAATGAGGTCATAAGGATGGGGTTCTGATCCAATACGATAAGTGACATTATCCAGGATACCAGAAACTTCTCTCTCCCTCCCTCCTTCTCCGTCTCTCTTTCTTTCTCCACACACACATCCCTCCAGCCCTACACGTCACAGAGGACTGTGACCCTACCATGGGATAACGCTGAGATTCTGAATGACTCCAGGGTTCCTCACTCATTCACAGTGGTAAATTCTCTTGATTGTGAAGGAAAAGCTGGGCTGGTCTAACAAGATAACTCACAAGTCTAAGTATTGGAATACTGACCTGAGTTCTGCAAGACTAACTTGTAAATCTAGGTTAATTAGTGTTGGTTTGCTGTTTATGTTTTTTTGCTAGCCAGCTGGATTTTCAAAGATACATATCTGGCTTTGGAATGTTGGTTTGCTGCCTCCCCACCTTCACTTTTGTGATGATAATGCTGCTAAGGCTGTTCCATGCCTATTTGCCGAATACCCCAAGCTTGTACTTTACCCTATAAAACCTCATGTGCACTTCTTGGAGGTGCTCAGAGCTTCGGAGCAGAAGCCCCTCTGAGCCCGCCGGCGTAATGCATCTGAGTACTCCAACCCTCCGGGTGGTGCTTGTTTCTTGACTGGCCTGTCGTTTCCGTAACAGATAAGACCCACTTTATTGACTGTCTTCCTTCACTATCCCTCTTTCCCACCCCCCTACCCACATGTCCTGAGACCATTTCTCAAATGCACTATTTGCACTTGAATCTTTGTCTCAGGGCTGCTTCTGGGGGAAGAAGATATCATATCAACTGGAATTACTATGAGCCAGACGCTGTTCTAAGCCCTTTATATGTAGGAGCTCACGTAATCCTCACAATAAACCTAACACACAGGTTTTATCGTTGTCCCCACTTAACATATGAGGAAAGTGAGGCACAGAAATGTTAAATGACCTGCCTTAGATTCACACGGGTACTAAGTGGCAGAGCTGGGATTCAGACCAAGGCAGCATGGCTCCTGAGTCTACACTTGTAGCCCCTATGCTTTAGTGCCTCTTCCTAACATCTCTGTGGTGGCTCTTCTGAGCTCCCAGAGGAGCTCTTCCCAAGGCCTTTCTCCCCTATGTGATTGTCTCTTCCTTCTCCTTCTCCTGAAACACCTTCTCCATTCTCCTCAAATCGCTCAGCCTTCAGGAAGTCCTCCAGAAAGTCCTCCAGATTCCTACAGGACCTGTCCACAGAATGTACTGCTTTGAGTCACTTGTGTGCTTATCTCAGCCTCCCCAGAGGAGGGTTCCCAGGAGCTGTTGTTGAAACACTGAGCTCCACGGTTAAGGTCAGGCTGAAGGTTATACCCCAGACTCTAGATTATACCCAGCAGAACCTCCTCCCCAGTCCTATTCTCACTCCAAGGAAACAGCTTCCTTTAGATCAGCAACAGAAGTGTCTTTGGTTTCTATTCCTCCCACTTCTTTCTTAATAAAATATTTACTTTGGGTTAGACCCCACCCCCTTGCTCTAACACAGGCTACTGTTAGAGGGCTGGGTATACAACCACCCCCATCCTGCCACGTACTGACCTACTTACTTTGAGCTGATTTCCCAACTATGACTTTGAGAAATCTTTACATAAAGCACCCTTTGAACCTCAGAAAAGGGTTATGCCCAGCCCCTGGGCCCCTCCCATCCCTGGACTCTGCCAGGCCCCTGGACCCAGAGGCCACCCTGCAGGCCCAGACTCCAGGTCAGGACACTGAACATCCTCTCCTCACCCAAACAGTGCCTGAGAATTAAGTGAGGGTGGAGTGGGGACCTCCCAGGAAACAGAAGGCCTGTTTCTGACCTCCTGTAAGGGGCCACATCTCTTTCAGATGGAAACTCAGCCCCTGGAAACAGCCAGGCCTGGGCTGCACCACGTGCCCGTCTGCCCACACTACAGCCCCTACCTCACCCCTGTGCACCCCATCCCTCTGGGCTCTGCCAGTCCTGGGGGTGCCAGTGGTGCATGTCATTCCCCCTCCCTGACTTCTCAGCACCTAGGGGGAGGCTGCCCCGCATGGCCCAGGGGAGAGGATGGTGATCATGGCCCAGGGACTCAGGGGTCAGCTGTTAAGGGCAAGGGGAGGGATGGCCTCTGGCTGTAACCTCCCTGGCTCCTCCCTCACAATGCCTCACTCCTACTCCCTCCATGCCTTGACTTAGCTTTGGTTGGGGGAGACCTAGCTGCATTCCTCTGCTCTTTCATCCAAAATGTCTCTCTAACGTTTTCCTCCATATCCTGGTGTGGGGACATGGAGGATCCACTTATTTCTCTCTTCTGGATACCAGGTCCCTCCCACCAAAAGGGCAGCCCTCAGGTTCAAAGTTGGGTAGCTTCCTGCCCACATACCCCAGTGCTGCCAAGGGGCAGGGAGGGAGATTTCCAGTCTAGAAGAGACACTCATGCCTTGCTTTCCCGTCAGACTCAAGTGAAAGTCATATCCCAGCAGATTCCTCCTGCCCACATCTCTGGCCCCAGCCCCAGGGTGCTGGAAGGAATTCAAGCTTTGATTGAAGACAGGCTGGAACTGCAGGTTCAGCTTGGCAGATTTATTAGCTATTTCAACCTTGCTCACTCTATTTTATCACCTGTCATACATGGAGCCAACAGCAAAATACACTCCCCTTACGGTTACCTCTGAGAATTAGATTAGGATGATCAAAATGAGAGGCTCTTCTCCCCTGCAGGTGTGGAAGTGTGATGCACAAAGATATCCACTGCAGCTTTCATTGTTACCAAGAGAGAAAGTTTGGGAATGACCCACGTCCATCAGCAGAGGGACCTTTACATAACGGACTGACACACAGTACATTGTGGTTTGGATGGTGGAAACTATGCAGCCTCTGAAAGCTTAATGCTTATCTGTACCTATGAGTGCATGTCTTAAGATATTATGTATAATATAACATATACTTTTTAACTAAGTATACAGTCAAAACCCTGTGTATGGGATGCCACCATTTATGCAAAAAAGGAGGGGAGAGGATGTAGTTGTGTATGCTCTTTGTACGTGTGAAAGTTCTCCCTGGAAAGTGGACAAGAACATGGATAGGAGAACTGGGGGCTGGAAAATGGGATGTGGGGCAAGGAGAGAGATTTACTTTTCATTAAATCCCCTTTATTATTCTTTGAGCTTTTTGTTGGGTATGAATGATTCTTATTCAAATAGGTGGAAGGAAACACAAGGAGCTGAGGAGAAAGCCCCGGGACCAGGCAGGAGGTCTCTGAGGGAGTTGGTACCTCCTTTGTGTCCTCAGTCTGTGTCTTCAGTAGAAGCCCCGTGAAAGCCTTTTACAGGAAAAAGAGGCTTGAATATATGTCAACCTGTAGCACTGCACCAAAAGAATTCTGCTGGACTTCTAACAAGAGACCCTGATGCAGTCTCTCTACAGACTGCTTACGTCTTATTTTGTAAAACTTCAAATATATGCAAAAGTAGAGAAAACAGTATAGTGAATGTCCATGTATTTATCACCCAACTTCAACCATAGTCCATATATGGACAATCCTGGTTCATCTCTGTACCCAACCACTCCTTCTGGGATTTATTTTTACACAAATCCAAGACATCAGGTTACAATTCACCTGTACATATACATCAGTAAGTACCTCTACAAGATAAGGACTCTTTTTTGAAAACACAGCCATAATACAGTTCTCACACTTTAAAAAACATCAGGAGAAGGTACAGCTCAGTGGTAGAGCGCATGCTCAGCATGCACAAGGTCCTGAGTTCAATTCTTAGTACCTCCATTAAATAAACAAATAAACCTAATTAGCTCCCCCCAAAAAAGTAAATAAAAATCAGCAATATCAAACCTATTTTTTAATTGCTTTATTGTGGTAAAGTACCCATAACATAAGATTTACCATCTTCACCACTTTTAAGTTGTGAAGTTAATTCAAATAATTAGTTATTAATATATTAATATAATTAGTATATTAATTAACAGTTCAGTAATATTAAATACATTCATAATGTGGTGGAATCCCCAACCAAAAGGAGTGGGGACAGAGTTGTAATGGAGCAGAGTTTTTGTACGTTATTGGAGGTAAGCTGGATAAATTCAAATTAGAATGTTATAACTTTAGGATGCTAAAAGTAATCCCCATGGTAACCACAAAGAAAATAGCTATAGAATATACAAAAAGGAAATGAAAGAAGCATTTAAACATTTCACTTTGAAAAATCAACTGAATACAAAAGAAGACAGTAATGAAGGAAATGAGGGACAAAAAAGCCATAAGGCATATAGAAAAAAACAGCAAAATGGTAGGTGTACCCCTCACGGTCCTGTGGTGACACTGTGGGTTTTTTTTTTAACTGAAATATAGTTGACACACAATATTATGTTAGTTTCAGGTGTACCACACACAAATAAAGATTTAACATTTGCCTACTTTATGAAATGATCACCATGATAAGTCTAGTAACCATCTGTCCTCATACAAATTTATTACAATATTATTATTCCATATTCCTTATGCTGTATATTACATCCACATGGTGATTATGTTTTAAAATTCTTTTGATGTAGGCATGCAAACAGCAGTATTTACAGATGAACTGATATGATGTCTGGCATTTGCTTTAAAATTCTCTAGAGGGAGGGGGAGGCCAGAAGAAGCAAGTCTGGCATAAAGCTGAAAATTGTTGAAGCTGCGTGATCTGCACATGGGAGATCTGTATACTATTCTCCCAAACTTCTGTGTATGTTTGAAATTTTCCATAATAAAAAGTTAAAAAAAGAAAATATTTTAACCCCCTCTGACCATTGAGCGTCTAAGATTAAACAAATAAAAAGATCAGACGAGACACAAAGGTATGGTCATAACTATCGAATAAACGGATGATAAAGCTAAGGGAACATAAGCATTGAATCATCTTGCAAGTCACATTGACTACTGAAATTAATAAATGAGCCATTTATACATTGGTCTTTCATGAGTTTTATTAGCATGAGTCAGTTACCTGGGGACCAGTCATATTTGCGGGCATTTTTTAAATCCCCATTTCTGAATTCATACAGCCCAGAGCAATACCTTTTGGAAAATAACTACAGAAAAGTAAAACCACCCTGTTAGAGCCACCTGTCATCCTTCCCCAGATGATGCTTCTGTCTTCCTATAAATCACCACAACACCCTACCTCACAAGGATGCTGTACCAAATAAGGGTAAGGTGTACTAAATTAGCACCTAGCATAGCAACTGGCAGGAAGCCGTAACTCAATCAGCATGAAGTCCCTGCAGCAGCGGCTGCCGGTGCCCGGCATCTCCTCGCCCACCTCTGACCTCAGCTGTGTCTGAGGCTTGCGGGTTTTTGCAGCTCAGTTTCACTTTGCACTAATTCATACCAGCCTGGGCCTTCTCTGGTACATCGGTGCTCAAAGGGCAACACATGTAAGAAAGACAGGGAAACAGCCCCAGAGTCAACCTGCAATCAATCAGAGAATGGACACTGGGGGAAACATGCTCATGCCCCCTGGTCCCTCAGGTGGACAATTTCTGTTTCTCTCCTCAGAAAGTTCCAGTGGAATTGAATCACTGTCACTATCTTAGTTGGCTTTTCCTCCTTTGTGATCTTACACTCCCTCACTTCTGCTTTCTGGAATCACCTAAGTTACCTGCCTATACCTCTATCTCAGGCTCCGTCCGCTTCCAGGGACACTCAACTAAGACTGTCCCTCTCCCATCCTCCTCACCCATGTTCCATTGCCCTTCTTTCATGGGTTCTGCCCCAGCAACACTCCAGTCAAACCTGGACTGTAACATTAACACAGAGAATTACAGTGTACTGGTCTCTCCACACTGCTCAAGGACAGGGATCCTGGGACACGTCTGGGATTCCTCGGTGTCCCATGGGAGAGAGTCATGCAAGCTGGTCAGCACTGAACCCAGCTGTGATAGTCACTGAGTCATTCACCAGTCTTGCCATTTTCTGCCTTGCAGGCACATGGTAGGACTGAATTTCAGCTTGCTTTCACCAGTGAAGTATGAGCCCAAGCCGTGTGCGTTCTTTCAGGCAGATTCATTCATTGCCAGTGCAATGTGAGACACTGCAGCGCCCTCTTCTGACAGAACCTCCTTATATCTGGCCTCCGAGTGACTGTGCTGATCAGAGACTCCCAGCACCATTCCACTGACCCAACAGGTAGCATTGTAAGAAATAAAACTCGTGTTGAGCTACTGAGGTTGCCAGGTTGTTCGTTTCTCTAGTGTTACTTAGCCATTCTGGCTGATACAACCTGAGATAGGAACGCATATAAAGTTTAGAGGAACACAAAGAGGGAGGTATCACGTCTCCCCAGAGGTTTAGAAAAGCTTCATAGAGGAGCTGGAGATAAGCTTTAAAAGATGAGTTTTCTTAAAAGACAGAGTGCAATCCAGACAAAGCAGTACATGGAGCAAAGGCTTGGAGTCTGGAGCCCTAGAGTACATTCGGGAAGTTTTAGGGTGGGAGAGGGAAGGGGAGGCCGCAGTATGATGAGACTGTGAAGAAGGTACCTTACTCAAGAGCCAGGGTTGGTCGCTTCAGAATTATTATTGCGGAATCAATGTGGAAAGTGAATTGAAGGAGTTAGGAGACATTTGTAGTTCTGGCAAGAGACCAGGGGCTGACAGAGAAGTCGGGACGGGGAACCAGGACAAATGTTTCTTGTTTGTTTTTTAATGGAGGTGCTGGGGATTGAACCCAGGACCTCATGCACCCCAAGCACACACACTACCACTGAGCTACACCCTCCTGACCAGGACAAATGTTGAGAAGCAGACCAGGGAGTTCCCTCTGGGGTCTCTCCTGAGCCCTCATAACATCCAGGTTGCCTCAATCTCCACACTTACGTCTGCTGTGGTTGCCTATTTATTATTTATAGTCTTCTTGACGGTAGAAAATGTCTTTTTTCTTTACACAAATTAACATTTTGTTATTCAATTTTAAAAGGCAGTGAAATACGAGCAAGGTTTTAGCTTCCTGGGAAACAAACTTGGACAAGAGAAGAAGCAAAGTGTATCCAATCAACACATACAGTTTTTTAGCTTCTAAAGAGATGGGTTTCTTTGTTAAGAGTTACATTTGACAGGACAATTTTCTGTATTAAAATAATTGTTCATTATTAAATGAAATTTTTGTCACTTCTTTTTTTATTCTTCTTTGGGGGTGCAGAATTAAGTTTATTTATTTATTTTTTAATGGAGGTGCCAGGGATTGAACCCAGGACCTCATGCATGCTAGGCATGCACTCTACCACTGAGCTATACACCCCCCACCCTCTCACTTTTTTTAAATTATCAAGAAAGTGAAAAAGACAACCTACAGAATGGAAGAAAATGCTTGTAAATCATGTCTAAAAAAGATCTAGAATTCAGAATATATAAAGAACTCTTACAACTCAATGACAAAGAGGCAAACAACTCAATTTAAATCTGACTGAAGTATTGTGCTGTGCACCAGAAATCGACACATTGTAAACTGACTATACTTCAAAAAAATATATATTAAAATTTTTTAAATAAATAAAAATAAGCCAAGGACCTGAATAGACATTTCTCAGAAAAGACATAAAAATGGTGCCAACAACCACAGGAAAAGATATTCAACATCATAAGTCACAAGGGAAATGCAAATCAAAATCACAGTAGGTTACCACTGCACACCCACTAGGACACCTATTAAACAACAACAAAAACAATAGAAAATAAAAAGTGTTAGCTAGAATGTGGAGAAATTGGAATCCTTACAATGTGCTGGTGAAATGGTTCCACTGCTGTGGAAAACAGCTTGGTGGTTCCTCAAAAGTTAAATATAGAATTACCATATAATCCAGAAATTCATCTCCTATGAGTATATCCCCCCAAAAACCTGAAAACAGATACTCAGCAAATACATGTTAAAAAGAACAAAAAGCAAAAAGAAACAAATACATGTATATACATGTTCATCACAGCACTATTCACAATAGCCAAAAGGTGGAAACAGCCTAGATGTCCATCAACAAATGAATGAACAAACTATGGTATATAGCTACATTGGAATATCATTCAGCCATAAAAAGGAATGGAGTACTAATACATGCTAATACAGACGAATCTCAAAGACATTGTGCCATGCGAAAGAAGCCAGACACAAAGTGCCACGTATTGTATGATTCCACTTATACAAAATATCCGAAATAGGTAAATCCACAGAAATAGAACACATATTGGTGGTTGCTGGGAGGAAAACGGGGAGCAACTGTTCAATCGGTATGGGGTTTCTTTTGGGGTGATAGAAAATGTCTTGGGTGATGAAAATGTTTCAATGGTTGCTCAGTATTGAGAATGGACTAAATGCCACTTAAATGCTCACTTAAAAATCGTTAATTTTATTCTGAAAGAAAGTCAATAAAATGCACCTAAGCTATCAAAAAAATCGTTAATTTTATGTTATTTGAATTTCACCTCAATAATGTAAATGGTAGAAAAAAAATCAATCAGCTGACACTCAATGAGCCCTCCTTCAATTTTGTTGAAAGGAAAGAAAAAGTATCTGGCAGAATGGTGTCATGAGGTCACTCACTTTCTCGGTGAGATTTTGAAACTGTCCCTTTGGTGCCCGCTGTTGTTTTGACCCTCCTGGATTTCCCCTTGTGCCTTCTTTCTGTAGTAAGGGAGGGTTGGACAAGGGGAGGGGGAGGGAATACCCACTCCTTAAGGGGGGTGGGAGCGGCTCTCAGGCCCACCAACTTCCCAACTCACACTGAGGCAGGAAGCCCCATTAAAAAAGACGGGCAGGACCCCACAAGTAGGGCCACTACTCTCCTGCCAGCACCATTCGGTTCCCTGGCCCAGAGGCTCTATCTCACTTTTTGCCTCTGAAATGGCTTACTTACCCCTAAAATTCTATTGGTTCCCTGAGCTCACTTCTGATTGGTTATTACTCTCACTTCTGATTGGCCCACTTCCCTAACTTCTGATTGGTCCATTTGTAGTGCTTCATTTGTATGGAGCTCACTCCTGATTGGTTATTTCTCTCACTCCTGATTGAGCTATTTCTACAAAGCTTGTTCCTGGTTGGTCAACTTCTGTTATACTCTATTTGCATATGATGTTGCAAAGTGTAAAACTGGCAGCCTATAAAAACCTGTGTAAACCTACAGCTGGAGTCCAGAGCTTGCTAGTGTAATAAACGTGAGTTCTCCAACTCTCCGAGTGCTGCCCAGCTCAAGGTTGCTGTCATAACTGAGCTGTAACACATTTTTATGAATAACATGGGAGTGTTACAGATCTGAAACGGTCCCCTTACATTTCTCCAGGTCCACCTGACTCTTGGACAGTTCTCTCCAATCACAGAAATGCACACGTCCTAGTTTGAAAACTTGCCCTGGAGAAACTTACCAGACAAGAGTAGAAGAGAGCGCACAGCAGCATCGTGGTCATAACCATCAGCTTAAACAAAGTAAATGTCCACTGACAGGAGTGAGGACGTATTGTGGTGTGAGCATGCAGAAAGAAAGTGAATGAATTACAGCTACACAGTCAAAATCATAATGCTGAGTAAAAAAGCCAGCCCCAAAAGAACACATGGAGAGTGATTCCACACATGTGAAGATCAAACAGGGAAATCTAAACAGTATATACTGTTTAGAAATACTTACAATGCATAGATAGTGAAACTAAGATAAGCAAAGGAAGGGAACATGAAGAATTGAGGGTGGAGTTCAGTCTGCAGGGAGGGAATGGGATGCAGATAACTTGGAGCACGCAGGACGTCTGATGTCCTGGGAATTTATTTCTTAAGCTGCTGTCAGGTGCCCAGGCAGTCTGTTACATTCATCTTTAACTATAAATGCTTATTTTATACATGCTTCCATGCGTATAGTATAATCACAATAAATTTAGGAGAGAGGATGAATGTGAAGAGAGAGTGGAAAGGGCAAGTGAGGAACACCAAATGCTGACTGTGCTGGGAAGAGGAGAGGAAGCTGGAGAGGGACCAGGTTGAAGAAGGTTGGGGGGGTGAGTACTCAGGAGAGTGGACAAAGTTGAAAGGGGCTGCGGGAGGGGGCAAAGTGGCACCTGGAGCCCAGCTGAAGGGAGCCTGCCAAGAGCAGCTGCATGATGCATTGTGAGTGGTACCTTGGCTAGACTGGGAAGAAAGGAAGGAAGGGAAGAAGGGAGGAGGGCCTGACAGAAAAGGAAAGACCCATGACTGGAGGTTCTCCTGGGAGAACAGAGCAGGTATACTCACTGCGCTCCAGGAGGGAGCAAGCTGAGGGCTCCTCAGAGGATGGTATGCTGGCACTGTAAATTTCAGAGAGGATGAAATTCCAGATGCTGATAATCACCAGAGTATGATTCTAGGAAGAAAGTGGATGAGATGGAGTCAAGGTAAAAGTTGTTGGAAGGAGGCCAAGAAGCTTTGAAGAACCCAGTAATACAGGCTGCGGATGGGGGAGGGATATGGGTGGGGTGGGAAGGAGGCCTTTCACTACGTACCTTTTTATATTTTTTGAATTTTGAACCATACAAATGAATCCAAGAAAATGTAAACAAAAAGATATTTTAATTGGGGTGTGGATTGGGTTATTAGCATGGACACCGGCAGGCCCATAAGTGAGTTGCTCATGGCAACAAGGAGAGAGAGGCGGGGAGCTTTAGAGTAGGACTCTTGAGGCTGCGAGGAAAGGGTGTTTGGACTGAAGTGGAAGAGTCCTGTTCCTGGGATTGACAAGGAGCTAGCAGAACCCGCCATCATTTCCCCAGACTTAGTGCTGAGCAAGGCCGGATGGTGTGGAGGGGGAAGGTCATGGGCTGCAGGAAGAACTAAATTCTCTCAAAAGCAGGAGGTGGGGGGAAGAATAGTTCCGGAGGCTGAGGCTGTGAGAGGCTTCCAAAGAACTGGAGAAAATGAATTACTAGGAGGATGTACAGATTGGGGAATGGGATACTTTGCAGGAGATAGATGGGAATTTAGGAAAGGTGGTTTTACAAATAGATGGGAGTGGTGTGGGCCTTTTGTTTTCTTGAGGTGTCTTTTTTTTAATTGAAGTATAGTCCGTTACAATGTGTCAGTTTCTGGTGTACAGTATAATGTGTCATATGGTTTCTTTTCTCAAGCTGTGAGCACCTGTCACCATTGTCTGAACAGGCTGCAGTTTTCACCAGGGTTTCTACAGTGAGGGCAGAGCAGAGTGTGGGTCCAAGCAGAAATGAGAAGTTGGAAATTTTGTTGTAATACCAGAAAGTCTTATCAGCCTATGGATTAAGAAATCCAGGCAGACTTCCCTCCTCCTTTTCAATTGGTTGCTCAAGGCATATAGTTATTTCAGTCTGGGCTAAGCACAATTGCAAAAGTAAACCCACTGCGAAAAAAACTTTGAATGCCACGGGGAAGTGTCTAAGCTTTTCTACCACTTAGACATTTCCTACTAGGTCACTGCTTGGTCCATAACCAAGAGCAGTGCACTAAGCCAGGAGCTAGCTAGTCCTTGACCACTTCTCCTAAATATACACACAAAAATACACACACCCCTTTTCAGATTGAACTTTTGTAGACACAAGGCCAGAAAAGACTTCAGAGGACAATCCCTTCATTTCATTGAAGAGAATACTAAAACCTCTGAGGACCTGAGGACTTCAAACCTGGCTAGAATCTAGAACTTCTATCTCCTAATTTTTTTTTAATTGAAGTAAAGTCAGTTGAAAATGTTGTGTCAATTTCTGGTGTACAGCATAATGTTTCAGTCATATATGAACATACATATA